GAGAAACAGGACACGCTCCTGACGCAAACGCAGTCCACAGAAGCTCAGCAGGATAGCCTCACAGAACTAGAATCTCTAACGCCATGGTAAGGGTTGCTTTTTTATAGCAACTACGCTACTCTGCTTTTGCATTAGAATCGTACTAGTTCTGCTAAAAGAGGGCAATACTCACCATTTCCATGATAAAAGGTAAAGAATTCTTCTTCTTGGAACAGTATTTGTATTATCACTTCCAGGACAGTTATCTTCCACTTAATAGCAAATAAGAGATCCTTCAGAATACTTCTAGTTAGGGCCATAAAAGAGGAGTAAAGAAGGTAAAACCTACGCACCCCACCCCCAATCTGCCTTCTGCTCGATTTTGGAGTAATCAGACTAGTTTTAGTTTCAAGAGTTATTAAAAGGAGAAGTACTCTTCTTGCACTTAAGAAATAGTGGTACTAACCTGTTGCCACTATTAAGGCCAAATATGCATCTATTTCATTGAAGAAGATATTACGTAGTATTTTGCCTTCATTGTTGGACCACATTCAAGGTCTCAGCTATTTCAAACAAAAAAAGATCTCATATGGTAATATAGAGCACCTCTTTTATTTACGTAAACAGGCATTAGTTGCATGAAAGCCTATGCATACACTTACCTTTAGATAATACAGCAACCCCACTTGCTTTAACTCGCCCTCCTATAGTCAAGATAAATACATCTTCCATGATCTGGACTTTTTTGTTATTTCTATTGCCTAAACCAACTCTGGGTCCAGGTACATTTAGTGCAGCAGTGTACTTTTGATTATTAATATCAGCATCTGAAAAAGGTGAACACTTGGCACATTGTAAAAAAAAATTAAATCTATGCATTAAAAGAAATAAAATCTCACAGGAAAAAAAGGCTTACTTGTTATATACTCTACAGTTTATCAGTTTAGCTTTATACTTCCATTTTTCATCCTCAACAAGCATCATTCTCATGCTTTTTCTATTAAAAAATCGCACATAAACCAGAAAGGCCTAGTCAGAGGTTGGGTTTATTTTGGTGAGGTAGCGATAAGCTTCCCCTCTCCCTTAAACTTTCTAAAATCTTTTATCTGTTCTGAACATTTGATACCCGTACCAAACAACTATTTAAAACTTATTTCCAAAAGCCAGTAGAAGCATCTTAACAAGGGCTTCTGGAAAGGTTTTCTCCCAGACAGCGCCTGGGTGAACACACAGCGGGCGGGTTTTCAGTACAGGCAGCAAGAGATGGGACAGCAACAGCTTGCTGTAGAAGAGCTAGGTAACACGGGTTCATGAAAACAATGACGAAAAAGCTTCAGCTTTTGTCCCAAAGTGAGCAAAAGCCTCTCCAACAACACACCGCTCTCCAATCTCAACAGACCAAGTGCTAGTTCTTGTCAGAATGACAAGAGCGCGCTGCCACCGCACGCACTCAACAACAAGGCAGGAAAAAACAGCCCCACCTGC